TGCCTGCTGCCCTGTTGTGGTCGCCCTTCATCCCGGTTGTTTCTTGTATTGCTCCATTCTGCTCGCCTTGGCTCGGTGCCGCTGCTGCTGCAGGCCTGGCGCTCAGGGCCCGCGGTGGAATTCAGTCTATTCAATCACTGTTTCCTTGTACCTTGCTGTAAGCCTGTACAGTTGAAAAATCACCCTGGCGTCACTGATTCGGGACAGGGTTTTGTTGGGTAGGAAAGTAAGGATTTATTTGGCAGTTGTGAGTCTCTGTCCGCCAGTCACCCATGCTGCCAGAGATATCTTCCCTTGCCCTAGCTGTCCACCACCTTGGGCTGCATTGCCGAATTTTTTTCAGCTCTTTTGATTATCTAGAGATAACAGGCCTTTATAGAAAGTAAATGTCCCTTTGCCCAGGGCAGAGTCTTGTTTAAATACAGACCAAGTTTTAAATGAAAGTAGTCTTCAATTTATTCTGATAAGTATGCCAATAATAAACTTCTAAATCGGGTAAAAATACAAAAGCAAAGAGCATATAAACTTACGCCCAGTATAATTCTGAGGTAGCCTAAAATGCTTTATGTCCTTTTTATTTATATTTTTAAATTGTCAGTCTCTTTCACCAGTATTAGTGTCCTCCCCTTCCATTTAGTTATGTCAGTGTAAGGGTTTTTTGTGTGTGTATTGTGCTAACATTCAGGTATCTCTGTCAGTATGGAGGGCTCGTTCCATGGCACACACTATGATTTGCTCTCACAAGGAAATGGTTATTTGAACCATTACATTAAATTGCATTCGTGGTCTTGAGGATTCTCTTTTAGTTTTTGAAAAATGTTCTGAAATGGGTAGGTTTTTAAAACAGAATGCCTATTGTTAATACCTTGCTGAGGATGGATTTGGTGTCACCAGGGAAATGTTCTTGATTAAGAAAAGCAGGTGGGGGCAGGGACTTGGCACTGTGATTTTTTTCAGCAAGTGAAACACCCACTGAGATATTCAGTCTGCTGTCTCTGAATACTTCTGAAGTATCTTCAGTTAGCTCATACAGTGTAGCACAGATATAGTAAGTTTGCTCTTAGCCTGAATACCAGAATAGGGACACTGTTGTGTTTCCAGCTGTACAGGAGGATCTGCAGGCAGGCCTGGTGGTCCCCGTTGCAACATGATGTACTGGCAGGAGCAAAACTAACTTGGCTCTGTTCTCACCTTGGTGAGGACAGAATGGGCCTGCATCTGTTCTTGGCTGTTTGAGGCACAGCAGTTGGAGCTGATGCTGATCAGTGTGTGTATTCTGTAGGTGACATTCCCATACAACCACATCGAGATCTAATTGTTTCTTTTATTATGTATAAAACAGTGCTGCAGAGAGTCTGATGTCCTCTGGAAGGTGTGTGCCTGCTCATAAGCAGTTTTGTAGGTGGGGTTACTGAGAGTGCAGGCTGCACAGAGTGAGCAGCAGCAGGGAAAGATGTCTCCTTGCATATTGACATAGCAACCAATTCCACTTTCTCACCATGTGTTGCAAGCACACAGCTCAGTAATGTATTTTGATCTTAGGGTATTTCCATAGCATCAAAAAAGCTGTTTATTCCCACCAGTGTCATGTGTTTAGGAGTACTAACACATGCCAAAGCGGTATAGGTCACCTGTGGGATAAGGGAGAAATACTATTATTTCCTTTCAAAATGTTGATGGTTGGTTTTGTTTGTTTTAAATACAGCTCAGAGGGAAGAAATGAGACTGAAACTTCTGCACCTTCAGACCAGATCTTTAACAACAATGTGCCGATGCCAAAGCTTTACCAGAACTGGATGTCTGCTGTTAAAGCTGGGAAATGAAGTTAACAGGACAGCAAAGTCTTGGAATTTATATGCTCTGAAAACCACGTTCCCTTGGTTGACAAGTCAGCGTGTGCAACTCAAGAATGGGCAATTGGTCCAAGGATATGTATCCACCTTGGGAGGAAATGTTTATTATCAGAGTGGGGAGGGTTTTCTCCCATCCTGGAGATGTTTTGGTGTGATGATGATGGAAAACTACAAGCTCAATATGGAGCATATCAGAAACCTTCAGCACACATCATCAAGATTTTACTCGGTTGTATCAGGTGGTAAAATTATTCCAAAACAAAACAACCAGCCAGTTAAGAGGCCCCCAAAGGCTCCGAGGACCAAGCAGCCATCCAGAACAAACCTGCCACTCTCAGGCATGGAGGTACAGTATAACATTTACAGTCTGTATGACATTAAGGGAATGAATCAGTTTAATTTAGATTCAGATTTGGGTTTGGATTAACATGTTAATGAAATTTAACACATTTAATTGGTGAGGATTTAATTATTTACCCTAGTGTTGGGACTCTGCAAACAGAAACTTGATAGTAATTAGTGTGCCTGGTGTTTTGAAGGTTAAATGGAAGTTTACTAACAATGTGTAAACAAAAGAGGGAAGATAAGTGGTTATTATAAGTGGAAAGATGAAATCCATTAAAAATAGTTTTGACCAATGCTTACAAATCACATTTAATACTGAGAAACAAAGTCTAGCTTTCAGAATAATTTTACTTGCCCTAGGTGTCTTTGCTTGTCCAAATCTACCCAGTTTAAGGCTTCACTGAAACAGAAATAAAGGTGAAAGTAAATAGTATAAAGTTTATATTCAGTTTAAGTTTTAGATGGGAAATGGATGTGCAGGTGTAGCCTGTGTTACTTGAGGAAGATTATTCCACGGGTAGAAATAGTCCCTTGATTTCCAGACTTCCAGGCTACAGAGTAACTGCAACAACAAACTGTTTCAGGTGAAGTGAGATGCAAGTGAAGTGGCACAGTGCAAACTTGTGGCTATAAGACAGTTCTTAGCCAAGGCAGGTCTTAAGTATATTTGAATATAGGATCTCTGTGGTAAATCCTGGTCTCAGACATGTACTGTTCTCCAGCTACAACAACAACTGATTCCAAGGTATTGTCAGTGAAATAGTATGATAGATGAGACTAGATGAAATAAGTGTTGAGCTTTCAGCAATACTTTCCACATTGCAAAATGTCTATTACAGCATCTACTGAATGTGAGCACAGAAAAGGTTTAATGCTTTTCTTATCAGCATCTAAGCTGCTGCTTAGTATTTTGTATGATGAGCAGGAGTATGCTTTGGTGTAACATAAGGAGTCATTTATAGACAATTTAGTTCCCACTCGTATTTTCACATTGGTTTGAAAGAAGAAAGTCAAGAATATTAGTCCCGAAACACCATGTAATGTTTCCAGCTTGTTAGTCATGCTGTGACAGTACATCCAGAGTTTGATTCTTTTTGGTTTTGGGTGAAGTAACAACATTCTTGAGGCCTTTAAATGACTGCATACAATGGAAACAGTCTTTGTTTGATGTTTTCATATATATGTGCAAGTAACGTGCAGTGCTATTTTTACTCTCTTCCGTTGTGAAGAAATGGAGAATTTACACTGAAATAATAATATACTTTCTGAGCAAGCATCTACATGGCAAAATGCTGGGCCAGAAATCACATAAACTCAGGCCTAACTGACACATTTGCTATTATTTAATAAATCCCACATGGTTATGTCAAATATATCTCCCCATCTGCAGGGGTACAGACAAGCTGTCACCTTGACTGCAGGCTGACAGTGTTTTGGAATCAGCAATTTTTTTTACTTGTTTGTGTATTTCTTTATCATTATGTTGTATAGAGGAATAATTTAAAGATGTGGCTGATTCCTACAAGATTCATAGAAGTGACACAAATGGAAAATCCTTTAAGGTGTTTCTTTCAGCATGCTGTCAGTTTTTTCTAAACTCTGGTGTCACAAAAACAGCTGATCTTGCCTTCTGTACCTGTTGGGAGGCAACTGGGAGCCCTCTCATAATGCAGGGCAGCTATCTGGAGGCATCTTCTCCTTCCCAGCCTGCTTCTGGAGACAGTAGTAGTTGTAGGCCCACTCCTGAGGTTCTGGGCTAGAGGAGTTCTGGGGGTCTCTGGTGCTTTCTGTCTGGGTGGACCTGACAGCTGACACCTTTCTTTCACAGAGCAGTCAGTGAATGAGGTCCTTCCCACCCCTCCCCAGCACTGGTCTTCTCCTGTTGCTTACAGGCAGAGTGCTGAGCACCAGCAGTGATAAATGGTCATACAACCAGTTTTTCAGGATAGATGGAGGAATTACTTGAAAGCAGTTAACTGGTTTAGTCAGTCCAGCAGTGAGTAGTACCACTGCTTAGTTAATCTTTTAAGGTCTGATGGCATGGAAAGCCTCAGATAATTTCTAATGCTATAGCGATATAGCATAGAAATAGCTTAAAATTCAGGTAAAGGTGTGATATTTACACTTAAGATAAGGACTGATTCCTATGATGGTGTGGGAATTTAGGTTCATCCTACAGGTTTTCTTTTCTAACAATTTTTGTATGCTTAAAGTGAAAGATAGGGCTTACGGAGGGTTATGATTCCATTAGCCTGTACAACTGTTGGGGGCGAGATGATATGGGAAATGAATTGTGGAGGTACCTAGCTATCCTTAGGAGCAGCCACCCTGTGTGGTGCTCTGAGCAGTCCCTCAATAATGCCCCAGCTGTAGGCAGAAAGGAGGAGGATGGTGAGTAGCTGAGTTTATTCCTTGAACCAGTAAAGGTACTTTATTCTGGGGGTTTTTGCAGGTGTAAGTGATGTAGCAGAAAGCATGGCATGGAGGTTGATCAGCCAGTTAACACATTTGTTTTAGGATTAGTTGAGTCACTCATTAGAGCAGATTTTTTGGCTATATCTCTACCAACAGTCGTGGGAGTTTAGACATTCAGGGTGCTTGGGGACACATACTTCAGGTGTCATAATCTCAAATAATGTCCAATTCAAATGTCAAACAAGATTTTAGTAAAAACGTAAGTGAAACAGTATATTGCAACTAAAACAGACAAACAAAACCCAAACCAAAGCAAACAAAAAAAAAACCCCAAGGAAACTAGTTCATATCCAAAATGCTATTTCAGGCATGTAGCTTAGCAGCAAACTTCTCATTCTAACTAAATATGAAATCTTTGCATTGAAACTAAAATTGCAGCAGCAGGGAGAAAGTTTATCCTGTAGTGCATTTGCATTGAAATGAAGAATAGCAGAAGTAATAAACTATAAGAAGCATGGAGCAGGGTAGAGTTTTTCAGGTGATATAATGAAGATGAGAGTTTGCTCCCTTAACTCTTGATAGAAGAGTTTCATGGCAGAGCATGTGTACTTCTAATAACCAGAGCTTTCTGGAAGAATCTTCAGATTCAGATATATAATTTGCATTGGTAATTTAGAGATTGGGAATAGATTTATATAGATGAAATTGTGCTGATGCAACTTTATGCAGCAAGGGAGCTGAAAACACAGTTCTGTTCCACTGTTTACCCAGCCTTGTAGCACAGTTGTGGGAATATGCCTACAAAATCACTCTCTGAATATTGTAATTACTTTTAAAGTTTATTTTCTGTTAGTGATTGCTGAATTAAGATAAGCTGTAAGCAAAGCTTTGAGAGTGATACCAGAGTGTTGGCATTAAAAGGGGAAAGACATTTAAATGTGGGGTCGTGATTCTGATGCCTGGTGATGCCCCTGACAGGGAGCAGAACACCTTTTCAAGCCTTCAACAGTGTACAAATGCTGTAAGAATGTAATTTGGTTTTTAAGTTGAAGTGTATTGTGGGTCCAAATGCCTGCAGATGAGTACAGTTCTTTTGTTCGTTTGTTAGTTACATCCCCATCTGTATTAGTTACAAAAAGATGGGAAGTGACTGATCCACAATGAGACATTGTGTTCTGGATATCTTCCACTACATTGTACTGAGAAACATTATTGTAGGACATACATGGTATCAGAACAAAGAAATACACTTAAAATGAGTAGTAGAATTTCCAAATCAGTTTATTGTGACTTGTTTGATTAATCCAGAAAATATTTACGCAGATGACTTTCCTATTTCTTTGCCATGCATGAGTCAAGTCTCCTTGCAAGTCAGTATCATTTTTCCACTTACTTGTTTGAATGTGGCATTTTAGTTATTCAAGATAGTGGAATATTGAGACAAACTCCAGCTGTTGTGTTCAGCTGTTTGAGACCATGTTGTTAGTGCAAGGTTCAGCTCAGGGGGACAGTGTAGATCTGTAGCACCTACAACTGGCCTGGAAGATCAGTGACTTTGTGTTGTAGTGGCTCAAACCCTGGGGGTGCCTGGGCAGGGAGCTTGGTGTGTGACAGAACATGATGTTTGAGGTTGGAGCTTTTGTTTGATAAGCAGCTGGGATAGCTGAACTCCATATATCTTTAGAACACAGATGTTAAAATTGGTATCAGGGCTGTCTTGCCTCTGGTTTCAGTGCTCAGCCCAGTATGTGGGCTGTGGGATGGGAGAGCAGTAGCAAGTGCAGCTCTACTGTTGAAGCATTTGATTGGCATTCAGGGAAGAGTTCCCTTTGTGGCTCTGTCACAAAGTTTTTTGGTGTGAAATGTGTCACTTGTTTGTTCTCAGTGTGTGATTTGCTTTCCCTCTTACCAATGAGCAAGCAGTCTCCTTAGTGTTTGTGCACTGGGTGGACAGCATGGCAGTGATAGCATAGAAAAGAGGGCATAAATGAAAATTGTCACTCTTCTAATAAATTTGAGGCAAACAGTTGTCTTATTAACATCTTGCTTCAGCCTTGCCCTAACTCAAATCTTTATTCCTTTGGCACAGAATCTGATGCAGTGCACAGCCTTTGCAACAGCAGATGAATATCATCTTGGTAATCTGTGTCATGACCTGACTTCACATGGATATGTTGAAATAACAAGTTTGCCTAGAGGTAGATTTTTGAAACATATTAAAAGCAATGTTATACCTTGGGAAATAAAATATGGGTGAGGTATATAATTTTTATAACTTCATGTATTCTTATTCTGGTAATACCCTGGAATATATCATACTGCCTGTCAAATAATTGCTTTTCTTAAAGGTTACATTTTCTAAAAATCCCCACTACTAAACCTTTCGGAATAGCAATACGACCTGCACTTGCTGTTACCCTCTGATAATTTTCCCAACATTACACTTACAATAGAAGTATTGAAAAATTACATGCATGCATGAGAAATAACTTTGGAAGTTTACTGATACAGAGAATTTCTATAGAAATTCACTAACGGAGAAAATTCTGAGTGTTTTATTTTAATTAACCATTTGGTAATGGGGTGCTCAGTGCTCCAGCTGCCAAACAAATTTTGTGATTTGAAGTGTTGCATCTTCTTTCCATGCCCACATTTCAATATCCTCTCCAACTGAGGGTTGGAGAGGAAGGCATGCAGGAGAGAATCTTGCTAAGTGAAGTGAAAAAGAGATGCATGTAAATACTTAGTTCCAGTAAAGAGAATGCTGTTGATACTTTTTTCACTTAGGCCAAGTATATCCTAGCAATTGTAGAATGTTTCACTGAGGTAGGCTTCAGCAAAGTAATTGGTTCTGGTTTCCATACAAAGTGTCTCTGAAGAAGTGGGAAATTATGGCTTGGAAATAGCGGAAGTATACTAGGAGAGAAAAACAAGTGGAGCTTTTCATAGCTTAAGGAACCTTATGCCCTAGAGCAGCTGTGATTTTCATATGTCAACAGTAGAATGCCTTTTTTCTCCTCCTTTGAAAGAACAGATTATATGAAGCTAAGAGAAGGACAGATAGAGTCTATGGGCATTCCAGTAGGGGTTATCAAATGTCTGTCTGCTTCTCAAAGAATGATCTAAGTGCAATAATACTCCAGCAGGTCTCTTTCAAACACAAGATTTACTAACGATTGTCTAGTTCAGAAAGATGAACACGAAAGACAAGGTGCAGTAGAATATAGGCTTAATGTTCCTTTGTAGTTTCTTTGTATTAAAACCAACCCTGGTTTCACAGCTTTGGGGCAGAAACTTTGTACAACCCCCGGCATGACTTGTGAATTGTTGTTAGGCAAATGTTACTGTTGATGGTATTTTACCCTGCAAGTGTGGGTTTTGCCAGTTCTTTAATTTCTTCACAGTGTTTCAGACTCCTCACAATAGATACTCTGTTTATCAAAAGTTTGTAGGATGTAATGATGAAAGGATGTTGGATTGTGCCAGGAGATCTGTGTTGTGATGGTTGGCGTGTGCGTGCTAGCAGTGGTTGTTACCAAGTCAAACACTGAATCTTGGAAAACTAAAAAAAAGTAGCACGTAGACTTCTAAATCAGAAGTTATTGTGTGGATTTTTTACTTTGTAGTGTTATTCCTAAGCATTATGCTTGGTTTTGACATCTTTAAAAACATTCTAGGGGCAGTTCCAGTACCTCTACTTAAAAGGGACCAAATTCTCTTCAACTGTGTATGTTTTGCTGGAGTGGAGAAATAAAGGTACAGGTGGTATTTGAAAAGGCAAAGGAGAAAAGGCAGACAAATGTTACTTCCATGGTGAACTTCACACTCAGACTTTGCTCTAGTGATTGATCCAGTGATGTGTTTCTGAACTGGAATAGCAAGTGGAAGTCTTTAAAGGGCTCATACAGACCCACCATGTGGTGGTCTCAATTCAGGCGTTCGCAAAAGTACGTCCGATACTTGATCATCCCTCTCTGCTGACTTAGCCCACCTGGCCTTGTGGCTTGAGCAGTAGAGCAGGAGTTGGAATCTGTACACAGGCAGAATTTTTCACTTGCACAGTGATCCTCCTGCAGTGGGGTTTAACTTTCTATGGCTTAGGTGTTAGGCCCTGCAAAGTCTTCACACAGTCTCACTTTATAATAGAAGTAGGGAGTTTTGCTGGTGTAGCTTCTACTAGTCCTGCAACAAAATGAGTTACGCTGGAAAGTAACCTTTTTGTTTGAAACCACATCAGCACTTGTAAATCCATATTGTTGAGCAGAATTGTAGGGGAAGAAAAACCAAACCCCTGTTTTGAGAACCCAGTGTCCACATTGTGGGGGCATTGTGCCCCCACTAGTTCTAATTTGCTCCTTTGTAACAAATGACCCATTAGTGGCTAGACTACCACAGGTGCATTTGTTGGAGCTCCTCTTTCAGTTTAATCTAATGCAAAAAGCCCCCACATTTTGTGTGGTGTTCTGCACTGCACATCAGAAGTGAGGGAAAGAAGGGTGGGTGGAGGATTTGTTTGAAAAGCACAGTTCTGATCTGAAGGGAAATACAGGTATACACTCTTAGGGGTGTGCTCTTTCAAGTTTCTGACTGGCAAAGCAAAGTCAGCACAATTTGAGTGCAAACTAGTCCCTTAGGGTATAGAAAACAGAAAGATGTTGTAGGCAAGCAGATTTGAATGGTAATTTCTCCACAACTGTGGGCAACTTCCATAGTTCTGTCATGTTACATGTCCACTCCTGTATTCTGTTCCTGGTTATTTACTATGCCTTCATCAGTTCTCCCATAAGTCTTTTGTTCTTCAAAGCTGTTACATTTACATGTTCCCAATAGAGGCTGAGTCTATCTAGAGTGACATCTCAGAGAAGCAGTGTAGTTTGATTATTGTAGTTGTTTCCTGGCAAGTATTTCCATCAGAAAAGTAGAACATGGGACTGACCAAAGAGTGTGTTAGTGTGTAACTGTTGAATTATATATTTACAGCTGTCATGTTTAGAAGTTTGGCTAATTGTTCAATTTTTTTCATTTGTTTCAAACTAGATGCTGCAAATGTTTTGGTGGTCAGTACCGAGAAATCTGCGAAGGAAGATGATCCTGGCATGGTTTTTTTTTTCAGGTAAGCTATGAATCATGCTCAAAACATTATGTTATTAATAGCAATGGTGTGAAGGAAGTAGTGCAGCTTGCTAAATCATTGCATTATATTACCTCATGAAACTCAAGGAATAACTGTCCAGTCAGAGTGATTTTTAAAAAATAAAAATCAGAATTACGTAAATGATTAAAAATTGCCTTCTCATGCTTTTTCATTAAAATATGGTTAAAAAGCAACTCTAATATAGTTCCTGTGAAGATCCTATTAAGTTCCTTGATTCACAATGACGAAAATTGCCGCTGTACAATTTGAGTATTGCATTAAAATACCTTTAAAACAGTATGATTACACCTCAGTTTTTCCTTGAATTCACAGGGAAGGGGCTGTTGTATTTTGGAATGTGGAAGAGAAAAGTGTAAGTAAAGCAAAACCATGTATTACATCTGCATAAGCAGGTGTTTCATCAGTCCCACAAAGCTCAGCATGCTTGGTGTTTGTTTGGGAGCTTGGACCCTTCCATGAAGGAAGAGAACTCATTGATTCTTCTCCTAATGAATGCAGGTTCTTGCCTGTTACTGCCCTCAAGTGTGTGGGTTGCTGATATACTATACCTGAAACTTGATTTTCTGCACAAAAGGAGCAAATGTGTGAAATACAAAGTAGATGACATTTTCTGCTTCAGGCAAAAAATCTGAAACCTTCATCTCGTGAGACTGACAAAAAGTAAATTCTTGCAGGTCTACATCCTGAAAAAATAGATGAGAAAAATCAGCCCATGAATGATTGTTTGAAAGGCACTGATGTAACAGAAAATGTATTAGAAGAAAAGGGTCATTCTATATATTACATTTGACGTCAAAACTATTAAAAACTTACGTTCATATAATTTTGAAAGAGGAAAAAAAATGTAATCATTACTTTCATAATGTTCTGTGTTTCTACCTGTTAGTAATTTTCCTGAAGGAAGTTTTTTTTACTGGCTGGCATAATTGTTAAATATGTTGACATTGAACTGACACATCCTTTATGATACTTTGGTGATCTTTGCTGGCCAAGAGGAGTGTGCCAGAGGCATATCTATTTTTATAAGTGTATTTATAGTTATTTTTTAATGTATTTTTATTACTGTGGTTAAATAAAACTGGATTCTGGATACAAAAAGTATTGATCTTATCTATAGGCAGAGTATGTGAAATGAAGTGTATTAAATAGATGATGCATGGGAGTTCAGAGGAGGATTTTCATTAGGGTAAATGAAAATACAGGGCAGTTGATTCCAGATGTGAATGATTTCTGGATTCAAGTGCACTTTTTCTGTTTCAGACCTGAAGCATTCCTGATTTCCTGTCTCTTTTGGGGGGTGTCAGTATATCAGCTGCCCACAAAAAGATTTCTAGTTCTCCCTTCAAACGTTGCCTGTAGCATGCTTAGGGTGCTATGGCTGTAACTACACCACTGATTCTCAGGTACTGCTGAAGACTAGCTGACTAACTCCTGATGGTCTTTGAGCTGGACACCTCTGTCCACTGGAGTACTCTGAAAACTCTCATTTTGTTGTACAGCTTAGGCACTTTTGAACGTTTGATACCATGTTTGTCTTGTTAGTACTGGTGACTGTAGTTGGTCCCTCGGTAGCTTTATGTATAAAAGCAGAGGAAAACTGCCTCTTTCTGCTTATTGAAATAATAGCCAAAAGTTTTAACTGTCAAACAGCTTGCTCAAATAAAGTATTTTTGCATGCATTTTAATGAACTGAAACGAACCAAGAAGAAAGCAAGCAACCAAATTTAGTCTGTAGAAGAGAAACTGAAAGTAATTCAGTTAAACAGAATGTAGAGTATCACTGTGAATGGACAAAATGGCTTTTTAAAAGTATTCCAGAGTGACTAGCAGGAGAATAAAAACTGTTTTAAATTAACAGACACTTAACAGGAGAATGATAAACACGGGCTGGTCACAAAAAGAAATTTAAAATGTAAAATACATTTTCAAATACCTGAGTAGGAAGGTTGTACCACAGCTTCCCTACCAAAATAGCAAGGGCAAAAAGCAAAACTAGCTTTGAGGTTTTTTTAGAAGGAAATTGTGACGTAAGTGCCCATAATAGCAAGAGTTTGCATTTAGTGAATCCAGAACATCTCATTAATTTCACTGTGTCACAGGTAGTCCCTTCTACAAAATTAGGCTGGACCTAGAAGAAACTGTTAGCAGTCAGTGGGAGCCTACTGTGACTAGATGAAAGAAAGCTGCCACTGAAATACAACTTCTTACCCAGAGCCGTGGCCGAGCTTTGTCAGTGTGCATACTACACGGCTTAACCACGTCACAGAATTGGTTGTGGTCTGTAAAGTTCTGCTGTGTTACTCTCTACTGGCCCTGGGAAGCCTGAGCTGGTTGTAATTCTGAAAGGACTGTTAGTCTATTAACAGCATAATTATTACTGTATTAGTAGTGACTAAATGCAACCAGGCAGAGCACACAGACCCAGGTGAACACACTCGTGAAGTCTGACACGCTGTGTGTTGCGTTATGGCTTGGCCATTAACGCTGGTATTGTTTTAGCAGAGTTTGCATTGTTGAGCTGTCCCTGGGCACAGCTCAGCTGGAGGATGGTTGAGGTGACTGGCCTAGGAGCAGACACCTCCTTGCTTACAGAAGTGAACAATAAGTTTTCATACCCTTTTTTACTACAGGACTTGAAATACATGGAATGTGCTAGTCATGCTAATATTTAATTCAGTATTATGAAACAAGCAGGTGCAGCTCTAGGGTTGGGGCTTTTGTTCAGTTAAAACTGTTATGTCTTACATAGATATTATCACCAGAATTCTTGAAAAGCAATGAAGCACTAGCACTGCAGAGAAAATCCCTCTTGCATGTGATCCAACTGAGTTTTGAGAGTACTTAACCTGGAGAATTTGCTTCATGGAAGATTTACTAGTGTACAGTTTTGTGCTAAAAGATTAATTGTTATCTGTTACTTTGAAGAGAGTGTTATAAGTATGACTTAGTAGAAGACTGACCTCTTTAAAGAACTGAGGCATTAAATGTGTATTGTGGTATTATGATTTGGGATTTTTTTAATTGGCTGTTGTGTAGCTAAATACCTTTTAAAAACTTGTGGGGTTTTTTAGTTCAGAATCTGTTCTAATTGCTGATGAGCCTTGTAGCACATAGGAAGGAACAAGGATGACAGATCCTAAGTCAGATGTCAGAGGAGAAAGTTTGGTAGAGAGAAAAAAGCTCTTTTTTCATGCATCAGGTTTTAGTGTGCTAGAGAATAAAATAGCAGGGAGATCACTTTTGCAAGTAAAATTGCACATTTAACTGTTTACAGGGTTTAATGTGGCAGCTGAAAGAATTTTTCCAGATTTTTGTAGCGGTAAAGGATTTCTGTAATAAAACCAGTCTCTGGTAGCTGAAGCAAAACTATTGGTTTCAGCAGCAAACTTGTAATTTTATCAGAAACAACCACCTGGTGTACTTACCCTAAAGATTCATTCCCACACTCACAGACATCTGCCAAAATCTTGTACAGCTCAATTTTACAACACTCAATACATCTACATTGTCTTTATTGCTGCTGTGCTTAATCCTTACCCTGTTTCATGTAAAATGACATTTTAGTCTTCCCAGATCCTTGCAGTTGTTTATAGCCACAGATTCTTCGACAAACAGCTTCAGAAATAAACTATGTTAATAAAATCATTATTTAGCACATCTCTTCATTGTTATTTAAATAACTTGAGCATCAAAGTTGCCTTGGTCAGCCTGCTATGTGCAAGTGCTTTGCAGTGTGATAGTGTTTACTGCATGGTAACTGCTCCTGCTGTTGTCTTTCTCTTAGATGAAGAATATCATGCGAGTGCTAGAACAGCATGAAATTCAGCCATATGAAGTTGCACTAGTCCATTGGGAGAATGAAGAGATAAACTATAAAATAGGAGAGTAAGTATCTTCAGGCACTCTGTATATAAAAACTGAGAAACACCTAAACCAAATTCAAGCGGAAGCAACTAGTAAAAACATACTGTGCTTACTCATTTTTCAAATGAGTCAAATAAGGAAAGGAGAAAACAGTAAATTTAAATTGACAAATTTTGCTGTATTGCTAAACTTGCAAGTAGTGACCTTTGTGATTTGGTTATGTAATAGATTTTGTAAATTATGAAGCTGTGCACCCACACAACTGAACGTGTTCTTCATCAGTCCTGAACAGAAATGATGTACCTCACAGAAAAAATCCTAATAAGCATTATTGAGACAACTCCGGTTTTAAAGATGCTCTGAATAAGCTTTTCTTACTGCCCTCAAGGTTCATATACAAAGATGTAATTCTGCACGTGTCACTTCCTAGGAAGATTACAGCTTGAATGCTGTGGAACGATAAACCTGGCAAGCTGTCTTGCCTTGTTAAATAATGGTTTTTCACCATGGGGAGCAAATGATCTCTACAGAAATTTTTCTCAATGAAAATGAGTATATAAATTACCTGTAATTTTCCAACAGCACTAAAAAATAACTCCTAGACAGGTCATTGTTAACACTAGGAACTGAACTAATGAAGTTGAGCTTATTAAGGTAACCTGGTAAGGGGACAGATTTGGTTTTTTTTTTTTCTGGCCACTTGAATACTGTGTCTACTATGCAGTTGTGTAATTTGTGATTCTTGACATATTCCACTGGGTTTATGCAAGTTTCATAGTGACATTGACAGGAAAAATTGATGGAGTCATATGCCCTTTTTCTTTGCTCCTGGTCCCCTATGCAGTAGAGGTTTCAGGGAAAGTAACATCATAGTGGGAAGTGGTGAGATTGCTCAAAGTGACATCAGAAAAGTAAAACAGAAACAGAAAGATAATAGAGGAGCTAGAGAGCAGAGAGAGGCCAGCATTGTGCTCACTCTGACCTGTCTGTGTGTATATAGTAATGCTGTAGTTACTATCACAGCTTGCTGCACTCTCATTTAAACCTAGACAATTTGGTCATTATATTAGTCTTAGAACGAGGAACTAATTTTCAATGATTTGTTTTGGTTATGGTCAGGTTGAACATGAGCAAAATGCAAGGATGGGCATGATACCTATACCAGATAGGGTATGCTTTATATAAATAACCAACCAACCTTTCTTGCATTGTTGATTTTTCTTTAAATGTTCCTTTGCTAGTGGCTTAGTCAATGAAGATGCTTCAATCTTGTTTTAACAGAGGTCAGTCAAAGCTCCATAAAGGAGAAATCTTGCTAAATTCTGAGCTGGATAGTGATGAAGTTGTTCTGCAGAAATTTGCCTTTTCAAATGCCCTTTGTCTTTCTGGTAAGTTAATACTGTTTGTGATATCAGCCTGTGCTACAGATTTTGTGAAATATCATTAGAAGTGGGATTTGTACAGCGACAGGTTGGAGAGGACTTGGTGCCTGGTTTAGGCAAACTGTGTAAAGAGTGATGGTGCATCAGTGAGAGGATTCATTTTCAAAGCTTTCACTCTAAATTGGAATGACCTTATTCAATATAAATTGTTTGAAAAATGAGCAAAGCACAACAACAAACATGCTTTGCAAAAGATGGTGTACTGAACATCCTGTTCCCCACCCTTGAGAACTATCCTAGGATAGGAAGGAGTGTAGAGTCCAGTATTAGAAACCTGTCAGTAACCTTGGGTGATTCATCCTAACGTCATTTCCTCTGACAGAAGATGCAGGATGCCAGCTAAAGAAGTGATGTAGAGCAGCAATTCCCAGCTGGGGAGGTGTACCAGAGTCACAGATGTTTTCCAGGCTTAGTAGCCACGGTAGGAGACAGGGGCAGGCACTGGGAAGAAGTCAGGCTCAGTGGTGTTGCTGCTTGAGGAAGTAACACCTCTCTGCTGCTTCAGACCTCGAGGGATGTAGGAAGTGGGAGTGGAAGCTAACAGCAGCAAGGCTGTCCTTTAACAGGCCTTTAAACGAAGTCTGGTCTGTCTACCCCTACTGCTTTAAGGGTAAATTACAGGATTCCTGTAGTATTTGAGGAGGTGCACCTTTACACAGGAGAGACATCAAGAAGCAGAATGCACTTTTTTGAAGTGCTACACCATTTGATGAAGGAGTATAGCATGACTACAAGGTTCTTCACTGTTGAGGGAAGAGCCTCTTGTTCTCTCTAGCTTTCCTACTCATAAAGCCACTGTAGGGAAGAGTGGTGCCACATAAAAAGGGATCAAGGGATTTATTCCCAGGATATAATTGGTACCAGTTAATCTTAGTGTGAGACATGCACATCATAAAGGAAAATGGTTCGATATCATTCAATAAAAATAAAGGATGCAAGTATAGTCCCAAGTCAAATTTATGACAGCAGAAACCAACCTCTACCAAATAATGGGTGATAGCTGAAATGTTTATTGGCTTTTTTGGGGGCAGCTAAATTAAAAGTCATTTAAGTCACTGACTTGGATTAGGCCTCTGTATTCAAAAGATGACTGTGAAAATGCTCAGCATTGGATTTACTGTCAGTGTCTTGACCAGATGATACTATTGATTACTACCATGAAAGGGTTTATTGAGACAATTAAATATTACCTGATTAATTTTTTTTCTGATTGAGTAGAGTTAATTCTTGGGAATTCTACTTCAGTCTGGGAGTCTGTGGACTAAAGAACAAGGTCTGAGTTTTATCATCATCTTGCAGAAACATCTTTCCAGGCTCAAGCTGAGGCATAGTAGAATTTGTGTTGCCACTGCCTGTGCTGAACTCAGGCTTCCGTAGAAGTTATATCTTCAGTGAACAGTATATTCACCTAAAAATAAAATAGGAGATTTCTTAAGTTTGAGTACAGGTGGTGTGTCTATACAAGCCAGCTCTCTGTGGTTGGAGCACACTGTGTCAGTAGTGGACAAATGGAGAACGAGAGCTGTGCAGGACACTAGAATCATAGAATCACCCGGGTTGGAAGAGACCTCAGAGATCATCGAGTCCAACCCTGAAATGCAGTGGTACCACATGAAGTCAGCCTGACCCCAGCACAGCTCATTATCTCCAGCCTCCTTGGAATGTAGTTTGCAAAGGCTTCATACATACAATAGAGCACGCAGACACAGCCTTTGAGCTGCAGCAAAAACTCTCCAGGATCTGAACAGATCATTTGGAGAAAGCTGCACTCAAGGTGAAGGTGGTTCTGCATGCAGACCTCTGTCAATGCCCAGCCCAGGTCTGTCCACCGATTTTGAACACTGACTGTATGATACAAACTGTAACTTGCTGCAAGCAATGTTTGTAAGCATCGATGTGTGTGGAAGCACCTGTTGGCAGATTTGAAGTTACAATTACTTGAAAGCATATAGACCTCTCACAGCCTTCTGCTTTGTCACCTCTGTGTTGCAGTAAAGCTGGCTATTTGGGAATCATTATTGGACAACTTTGTGGAATCTATCCAGTCAATTCCTGAGGTGAGGTCTTGTTTGTAACTCCTCTCCTCCTTTTCCCCTGTGCTTTGTAGATCAGTCCAGATACAGCTGAGGATGTGGAGAAAGCAGTTGAATGCTTAACACATGTGATGGTAAAGCTCAGAACACCTGCAAAGTGATGGGACAAGAAATCATCAGTCTTAAAGGGCTGGGAGCATGGTTCTGCCTTGAAATAATATTTCCCATGTTTTGCCACTGTCACCTGCTACTGCTGAATGTTTATCTGTAACGGGACAAGTAGCATTTAAAAATCTGGCCAAACACGGTGGTGGCAACTTGGGCTGAAAGTAATGTGCTTTAGCCTGAATATAATGAAGAGTTTGAGTGAATCACTGAAACCACAGGTGTTCATGAGACATACAAAGCCTATATGATATCACATATAAAAGAGAGTCACAGGGTTCAAAAGAGAAAATATCAGTTTTATTATTTTTATATGAAAGAAATAGATGGTAACACATTGATAGTTTCAAGGAAAAAAACTACAAAAAAGCTAAGTAGTGGCAAGGTAAAAGAATGCTGTCATGACATTGAAATAACAATAGGATTGAAAAACAAATGATGTCTTGTTCAGGAATCATTTATAGAAAATGCTCCAGGATTTTGTACAGATACTAATGACATACTCGGTGATTTATTGAAAAGCCTAGCTGAGCAGTTGCATGGTGATATTCTTAGAAAGCTAGATAAGCCAGGCACTAAGCAAACAAAACTAAAAGGTTAATAAGTACAGTATGCGTTCAGATTTTACCTCACATACATACGTCAGGCTGTAAAACTCTGGACTTTTAACTATGTGTTACTTGATCAAGCAGTGAAGAACTTCTTACTTTGCAGATACTAAAGTCACGGAGGAAGGTGAAACTCACTCATGCAGATGTGATGCAGAAAATTGGAGAACTCTTTGCACTAAGGTAGCTCTTTTGGTTGCATCCAAGACATTGTATTACACACAACTTAAAAATGATGTTGTGCATGATAGAAAGACCAGAATACACACTAAATACAGCAGGTGAGGGGAGGGGAATTCCTTCAGCCGCCTTCTTGCTGGAGACTGTGAGCTGTTTATGTTAGTCAGATGATCCACTGGATCACCACTCACACTACAGCATCTCAACTCTAGACAGGCATTGGGCAGTATGTTGTAAATGACCAAATTCCAAACCCTTTTACCTCCCTGGAACCAGCAGCACATGTCACTCAGCCTGTAATTATAGTAGATACTAGCACCTGTAAAGGACAACAGGGAAAGATAGGCAGGTGGAACTATTTACTACAGCCTCGAGTTAGTAAAACTCTTGAGTTTTGTTCTTCCCTTGACTTAATCAGAAACCACTGCTACATTGCAAGAATTTAATGTTTTTTCACCCCTCAAGTGAAATTTGGCCATTGACAATACAGACTTAGGGAAAAAAGAAAACCACAGCATTTCAAAGGTAAAATTTAAAAGCAATTCCTATTCTAAGCATTGAGTTTTATATCCTTATTTGAAGGACTGTTCATTAATAAACCATGTTCCAAGTATCCAAAATTTGTTACGTTGAAGACAGGAAGTTTTGGCTCTTGGCCTTTATGATGCTGAGACTGATTCTGAAGGGTGTGCTCTGCCTACACATCCAGCATGCAATACAAGTCCCATTTGAGAGTTCTGTCTTGTCAATTCATGTGCTGCTTCAGTGAGCTACTAGCATAGTCAAGGATTTCTCTGCAGGTATCAGAAATTAAGGAAGGTGACAGGCTGAGGACGCAATGTTGCTATAAGGCAAAAGTCATTTATGTTCAAAACTGTTCTATAGTAAAACGTTCCCAGAAATGTTTCAGATGTGACCAATTTAAAACAATCACCTCAATTGTATTTTTATTATAAAAGGAGATTCTTTTTATATTTTACTTGAAATTACAGGAAAATTTTCATGTTTCTTTTAACTGCTGTGTAAATACTTGCTCCTATACTCACCAAAAGGAAGCCTGAACTACAGTTGTTCCCATTCTTTTTAGACACCGTATAAATCTCAGCTCAGACCTGCTAATAACACCTGACTTCTACTGGGATAGAGAAAAACTGGAAGAGCTTTATGACAAGACCTGCCAGTTTCTCAACATTAATCGCAGAGTTAAGGTAGGTGTCTTACTGTTACAAGAACTTTCCATGCTCATATAGTTACCTTTGGCTCAGACTGCTCCACAGATGTCTGTTTTATTGTAGAAACTGAATAAATTATGGGGTCCTATACACTATCCCCTTCTCCATGTGTTCATAGCCCACTTACACCTGTACCCAGTTGGGGTTAACCTGCCTCACAGGAATGGATTGCACATTTCCTGAGACACTAAGTTAGGCTTTAAAGAGTTACAAGAAGAGGAGATTCAATTCTTCTTCTGAAATGGGTGCAAGGAAACAGGTTAAAAAACTGAGATCAGTGAAGCATTCTTCTTACTGATATGATCATTCGGGTCAGTTCTTGAAGGGCAACATAATGGCTGAACCAGAGTAAGAAATATGAAAAACACATCTTTTGGTGGTACAGCAACCTTAAATACTTACTTTTGAGGCATTGCAGAAAGCTGCGTCTTCTTTTGCTTGTGCCTGTTCTCATGGGTACGTATCACCCAGAAGTACTGTAATACCTGCAGATGCCTATCTAAGTTTGTGTTATTCTTCTGAACCCATTGACATAACAGGCTCGCTCAGACTGAAACTTCTGTTACATGTGCATGTTGCACTACAGAACTTTGTTCTATTTTGCAGAGGTGTTAACATCTTTCTGGTTCTGTTCAGTGAGCCCTTCTGTGGAGTGTGTTCCTGTATTCAGTGATCTCACTCCATTCCTGGAGTCCAGATTTGCCCTATGTTTGTAATTGCTTGCAGGTAATGAATGAAAAGCTTCAGCACTGCACGGAGCTGACAGATCTAATGCGAAATCACCTGACCGAGAAGCACACTCTGCGCCTGGAATGGATGATAGTAATACTCATCACCATAGAGGTGAGTGCAGGTTCTTTACACTGTCACGCTGAAAATGTAATAACAAGTGCAATTTGTAGACTTTGTAATTTGAGAATTATTTTATTAATCTGATGTACTGTACAAGGGGATTAGTCTTCAGTTCTTTGCAAGGCACTTTTCAAATTGCAGCTAGTTATTTTTTGGATAATCTGATTCCCAGTATAAGGTGGTGTAGGGATTACTAAATTAAATAAAAATTGATATCAGTGTGTTTGCTGTCCCACAGGTTCTGTTTGAACTTGCCAGGGTAGTTTTCTGATGATAGAAGAAACTCGGGAAGAAGAAAACTGACATAAAGACCATACGGCATGGAAAATTCCCATCATATGCTTCTGGAAAATAGTGAATTGTGTCTCTTGATAAATCTGTAAATCTTCTACTCAAATGAAAAAAATAAATCAGTCTGTGAACAATATTCCCAACTGCTGTACTAGTGATGTTAGAGAGGTCTTAATATATAGATGTGCCAACGCAAAGCCTAGATGCATTTTTAGGGCAAGTTTTCTACTGAATAGACCCAGACACATGCAGGACTAATGCAAGGAGAGGTTTAGCTTTGTCTTAATAAGCAAGGACAGAAGGATGGATCCCTTCTGTGCTGACTGTATTAATTCGGTGAAGGACTCTACTGCCTTGTCCCCTGGACAGTTAAAAGATGCTGAGTACTTTGTGCATTTCTGACTGATGATGTTTTCCCTCATTTTCCCCCATCTTCTTCTTGGACAGCTGTGACACTGTCCCAAGCTTGGAAACAGCACTACTATTTGTTCTCTTTAAGCTACCTGGCATGATTTTAGTATGTGTGGCAGGTATATTTAATGTTATGTTCTACCCCATCACACAATGGTGTTTACATACTTGTATGGGAATAAATTTATTTAGATTTATTACTATTTGCTTTTATTTTTTTTACATTTAGGATTCATCTGAAAGGGAAATGAGTTGGTCTTTATCTGAGGTCACAGGAAGCTGTAGCAGAATGATAAACTAAAGCAAGTGTAAGATTCACAAAATTTCTGTGTCCACCTTATCATGCTGATTCTTATCAGTACAAGTTGCAAGGAGTGAGTTAGAATAGGGTAAGATGTCTAAATTATCCTCTAAGGTTAAAGTTTCCTAAGCTTTCTTTTAGTCTACAGAATGTTAGTACCTTCTCATGAGAGGATGAAGGGACTTTTTTCTCCCCAGCAACTTCTCTTTCTAAATGTTTTTTCAGGAACTACACAACCGCTATTTTGTCACCTTTTTCAAAGTCACTTTAGCCCAGTGTATTGTTTTGGGAGCATCATTAAGAAGCCACAATGACTAAAGTCTGGTTAAAAGTGCAAATACATTTGTCATAGCTTGCTGTACTCTCTTCACCTGAGAGCAGTACTTCTGAGTGTGATACTGGCCTCCTGTTGAAGACATCAAACAGATGTAATGTAGAAGAGAATAAAGTCAGAGCCAGGAAAAACATCCAGCTACACACCCATCCTTTTACCATAAGTTACGTTGCAGTGCCATGGGAGCCCCTTAAGAAGCAGCAGCTGCTCTTAACAGTAGGCTTTCTCGCTTGGAATCAGATCAGATCATCCCTGGAGGTCTTGGTTCTGGAAGAGCTCAACAGTGAGCCCTGCTCAGGGAAGTGAATTGAACAGCTTGGTGACAAAGTCTTGTAGTACACTGCAGAATAGCTCTGCATCAATAGCCTTACGTACACGGGTTTGTCAGGAAATAGAACATTACATCTTTTATGCAGCAGAAAAACTTAGCAAGCACCACTTAATTCCAGTAACAGAGAATTAGGTTACACTTTAATTCTGATTTTTCTAACAAATGCTTTTCAGGCTTCCCCCCACCATTTGAGTGCAATACTTACGCTCAAGAACATCAGTTCCCATTCATCTCACATTTAATGTTTCAGTATTTCAACTAAATGGCTAAAATGTAAATTTGCAGGCCAACTGCATCTATCAGGAAAAGTGGTTTTAACAAAGTCATTTGAGGACTCTGAAATGCTCTTTTAAAGCATAAAGTGCCTAGGCTTGATTATCTGAAGCTCTTTTTCTTGGGACTCTAAGAGTTACCAACATGTCAAAACAAGAGAAGCACAGTTACTTTTGAAACTGTAAATCAGTTTATATTGGTAGATAAAACCATAGCTGTAAAATCACACTCTTGTTTTTGCCAAGCCCCCAACCCCATTGACTCGGTTGAGTGCCTATTCAGTTTAAAACGAAAAAGATCCAGGTAAGCCTTAACTGTTCATTAAAACTTTGTCTCCCTCTTTTTCACAGTGTACACACTGGCAGCTGCATACAAGCTCAAGGGGTTTTTGGTTCAGCCGCACAAACCCTATAACCTGTGAAAGAATACTCTCACTGTATTACACATGGAGAGCCAAGCTAGGAAGTTGAGTGTACCAAGAACCTAACTTGAGCTTTCACAGCACAATTATACAGAAAGAGCAACCAAACAGCACATGGAAAACACTCCCTGCCTGCAGTCTCCTTCTGCTTCAAACTGGAGATCCTGTGGGTGGCCTGTGCACATGTATGCATGGCCTGAGCAGGGGGAAGCTGTATGGCAGAGGCAGGAATGAGACTCCAGTTCCAAAAGCAATACAGAATTGCCTTAACTGTGAGAACACCCCCATGTTTGACCTGCCTCATCCACCACATGCCTTCATAGTATGAATGAAACCATCAGCACTACAGTTTGCACAGTTTGAGTCTTCACCAAAATGGGTCTGCCCTAACCAGTGAGGGTCACCTGGGGGGAAAAAGGAAAGGTGCAATAGCAATAAATACAGAATACACAAGGAAAACCAGAGAGGAATCTTGGTATATTCAGATATCTGAAATTTGAACCTTTTTCACAAAATTAAGACTGAATGGCAAAATTCTGTTCATATGGATCCCAGCTGTGCACCCCAATAGCCTCCCCAGGCCAGGGAAGCCAAGGCAAGAATAAGCAGAACTTTTCCACAGCTGCTGCTGGACTCTTACATCAGGGGGTTTCCCAGGGATCACTTTTACATGCTTCGTGCTTCCAGTGTTGTGAGATTTGGACCAATTGTGTGAAAAGTTCTGACAGAGGGAAGAGAGAGTCCTGGATGAAAAGGCTGGAGACTATCAGAGGTACAATATTTACTCATCTAGCAAGAAGCTACTGCTGCTGTCACACTTCCCACCAAGCCTTCTCACCAACATAAATCAGAAGTGGAAGTGTGCTAATAAAACAGATTACAGAACGGACATAAACTCATGTTTTACTACAGCTGTACCCATGTGAAAGCAGTGCCCCACACCTTAAGGCAAGGGTTCCATCCTATTGCCTAGGACACACAACTCCCAGGTCCCCATGGCTTTGGCAGAAAGTCCTGTGGGAGTGCGTCAACAGTGCCACAGGGAGCAGTGAGTGAGCAAAGAGCTCTTCAGAACAGGAACTCTGCACTCTTTTTTTTCAAAAATGCTGAGAAATTTGAAAACTCACTAACTTAGCACTTTGAGCCTGATTAATGTCACTAGAGCTGCTAAGGTTTTGACTATAACAAAATAAAATCTGCTATTCCACTCCAGATTTCAACTGAACTTGACCAAAAAGACACACTTCCAGGACTTGAGACTGGAACCAGTTCCTCCCCGCTGCTCAACTGACTTTACTCAGGTTAGCACTTTTGTCATCCTATTAACACTTAAATCATCAGCAGTACGTCCATTTACAATGCAAAATATGATCTTATCAGACAAAATTCTGCCTTTAATCCAGGTATATGCAGACCAAAGCAAAGCCAAAAACCTAGGGACTACTCCTGTTACCAAAAGCAAAATACCCACCTAAGAGCGGGCTCAGATGTGTAGCACTGTCTGAATCAGTCTGAACAGTCCTTTCAAAAAGTCATAAAACTGGGAAAGAAATCCTAATCAAGTACCTCCAGAAACTCACCAGGAAAATCAGCATATGAAAACTAAAAGCACTGTAATACCACTTAATGAGACAGGGATAAATTTTAAGTACAAATTCAGATTATAACTGTATTCAGATTGTAACATATAACTGCATGGATTGCAACTGTTAAAAAAAATAAAAGATGAGAGGGAAGCAAAATTTTAGATTCACATAGTAAATTGGGTGTCCAAAACGCAACAGATAAGCTACTTATCACCCCTGTGACACAGGTGACAGGTCTCAGGTGCAAGTCAGTCCTGAAGGTGTGAAGTTCAGCAGCATTAAACTCAACACAGTAATCTTTCAACAGGTTCCAATGGACCTTGAATCTAACGGGATCCTTTTAAATTAAAGACTGCATTATTGATGGATTAAAGTATTGCAGTCCAAACAAAGGTGCTTTAAAGCTGAATTATGAACTATTAATAATAAAAAAAAAACATAGCTAATTTTTCTTCAGTTTCAGAGGCAGCACAGAGAATCCCATATGAATGCCAACACACAAGTACTCAAGTGCAAGAGAAGGGCCACAAAGCCTGCCAGATATCTGCCAGAAACACACTGGTTTTCCTAAGTAGCCCACTCAATTTCATTAAAAATTATATCACTTTCACCATCTTCTGTGAGAATGAGACAAATCATCCACCACTAAGTGACTGGAGTTCAAATGCCATCTACTCCCTTTACTCTGTATTTAGTTTTCAGAACTGAAATGCAAGGCAAACATCCAGGGAGAAAATCGACCAGCAGACTGGTTAAATACACTCTGCAAACCTCTGCCACGTGCTCACACAGCAGGAGGCAGAGAGCTGTTAAAAACATGCCCCTTGTAGTTCAGCACATCTCAGCTACTTGAGATGCAGATCCTAGAGGTGCAGATCTGTTCAGCTGCTTTATTCAAAGTACTGCAACAGCAGCAGACCATCAGCTTTCAGCTCCACTAAAATCAAAAATTGTTGTGGTTTGGGGTTGGTTTGTTGGGTTTTTTAAGACTTCACTAGTTAGTTTTCAAGTGCAGCTTAACTTGGGTAAATAAATAAATATTCATGAGCTACATAATGCAAGCAGACTCAGGCTGTGCCTATCACAACATCCATTAACTTCAGTGGGAGACAGTCAGACTCACATAGAACTGGTCCAATCCTTTATCAATTTAGATCCTGTTATGGCCTGGGATGGCTGCAATAATCTGTGGATCTACAAAGCAGACAAGACACAAGACTCCTCCCCCTGTCAGCACACCTACTGTCACAATGTGGTATTAAAAGAGTTTGGGCCTTTATTCCATAGTACATCTTATTTAATTACCATGGAAACAACATCCCAGCTACAGCTAGCCCCCTAAATGCCTGCTTAAATGAGTGCCTTAGAGAAGGTAATAATCATCTGGACCCAATTCAAATCGTTGACATTGCAGCCTACGCTGTTCCCCATGAACAACAAAAAGCACACTAAGGACAGCAGG